CTTATTATTATTTGAGCAAAGGATACGGCTTAAATAACCGATATTGATTAGAAATGCAAACGCAAAAATTGATTAGAAAAATTAACTAGTGGTGCTACAGAATGACACTTCCCTCATCTGAGCTGCCATCTACATTTGTTTTTACATTTTTACAGTTTATCGAATTCCTAATAGTAGAATTCAAATAGAACATTAGAAATATTATATCGTGGTAAAACCTGGTTCTTCAAGAACATTTTCATTGAAAAATTTGTAGCTGATTATAGGAAATGATAGATTGTGAAAATTCTCACTTTGATGATCATTTTCAATCAAAATTTCCGAGAAATTACACCAGAAATACCACCACCACCACCACCACCTATTTGAAACAATTGTACTCGCAGATGTGGTAAGTAATAAGAATGTAATTGTATAATAAATGTTCATAATGAAAGTATTAACGACGTGAAAATATTTTACGAAAGGTACATTTGTGAAATTTTTGAAAATACAACAACAAAAGAATACTTGAAAGTGACATTAATATCATGTTATTTTGATCATTGAGCACTATCCGTACAAAATAATAAACCCAATTTTAAAGCCCTTTTCAAAAAAATAGTGTTGAATGTTTCTAAACTTGCATATTTGGGCTCATTTTCACAATAAAACTTTTGATTTTTGGAGAAACTCTACAAGATATAATTTGAAATACTAGTATTCAAAAATGCAATAATGTGTACAAATCGCCGGTAATGTAAGTATTAGAGATGTAAAATATAAAAAATACCTAAGTGCAATTTGTGAAGGAAAAAACTGCAAAATAGCATATTAGTCGTTTTTTTCAGGGCATTTAATATTATTTACACAAATAATTTAAAGAAACTATATGGAACAGTTTTTGAAAAATCCTGTTTGAATTTTTTTTAAATAATGCTCATACTTTGCTCAGAATTTCAAGTAAACACTAAGATTTTCAGAAAATGTATATAATTACTAAAATTTTAGAAATAATTATGTAAAAGACATTTCTATTGAAGAAAACCTCTCTATATTCAATATTGTAAATGCAGAAGGAAGCTGAAAAATTTTCATATGTTTGTAATTTCCGAAAAATCAGAGTTAACAGTGAAAATCGGATCTATGCTATCTTTATAACATTATTTTATTGAATTCTTACAATAACATAAAAGAAAATTATTGGAGTAATTTTTGAGACAATTTTGGAAATGTACTAGGAGCTTCATGTGAAGTACCTTTCGGAATTTAATGAATGTTTTTCAGAATCGCAGAGCTTGGAGTCGGTCCTGATCGACAGAGGAATATTCATTTTGGAAAAAGTTTAGACGCTAGGGTTGTTGACAGACGGACGGACATTTTGAAGAAAAAAAACACTCTTTCCTGTATCAGAGGATCCCAAAATTTGTATATACGTTGAAATTTCAAAATCGATATTCCGTTACATAACTTTTTATTAATGTATATTATCCGTATTATCCGTATGCATATAAGAAGGTAAAAATAGTATATCAAGGTTAGAATTATAGTATATGAAGGTATGAATTTTCAACAAATCAATTTGGAATATCACGAGGAATTCTGCAGGAGAATGAAAGACAAAAAAGTGTAAACTTATCACATTTTTCAAGAAACTAAAAATGTTCATAATCGTTCACAATCTCTTCATTTTAAAATACGAAGTAAGAAATTTCTCCGCGACGCACAGTTCATAACTGGGGAATTCAGTCTACGGATAAAAAAAATGTTCGTATATGTACGAACTTTTGCGTTGTGTTATAGTATAAATCTGCATTACGATTTTTTTCCCTTAACCATACCATATCATTCAAAGATATGAAATATAAAACTCTGTAAATTTTAAAAGACCTATTTAGCACAACTTGGGCAACCAATGTTTGAAGGAGAGCTAAAAATTGTGATGAAGCCATCGAGTTTTCGTCTATGACAAGTGTGTTGTTCGTGCTCGTACGTGACTGGAACTGCGGCGTGAAAAGATGCGAGCTTACTCTTCTAACGTGTTTGTGATCGCATTATTAAGCTAATATACTAATCATCGCAAAAACTTAGAGAATGTCATAATATTTTTATGTTTCCTTTGACGATTCTTCGAAGAAACAAAAGACATTCTGACTCTCAGAGAGACACACAGATACTTATTTACACCCAAAGAGGTATGTGGTATGTTAAAAATGGTATAAACGACCGGCAGGGAAGAAACGTTTAGAGAAAAGGAAATTTTCTCTCCGTAGAGAATGACTGGGTTCTTTAATTTTATATATATATATATATATATATATATATATATATATATATATGTGTGTGTGTGTGTGTGTGCTTTGTCAATTGTTAAATAGTTTTTATTGTATAAAATATAGGCAATTAAAAAAAATGAAAAAAATGTTCCGCTATCCATTTGCTAGTCTTCAGAATATATCAGACTGGAATCGACAATAGCACGCCCGCCGCGACGTAACAGAAGGAAATTCTGGGAATTCCTTGTCATTGCTGAGAGATGTTATAGCGACATAAAACGCAGTTTTAATTATGGTCTTAGTTCAATTAAATTTCGCACCGAATGTTCTAGGATTTACTATGGGTTTTGGAAGTGACAACTGGGATGCATTAATATGGATAGAAATTGCGGTATTAGAATGTTACGTAGCCATTTGAAAAATGAGTAGTTGTCGCGATTTTTGAGAGAAGTCTGTTAAATATGAAAACATATTGTGCATTTAGTTTTGCATATAAAGACAAGGAGAATAACGAGTAATTCGGGTCAAACCGAGCAGATTTAAATAATATTACAATAGTATTTAATAATTACTTTTATTTCTCCTCAGAAAATCCTTTGCTGATGTGTCTTGGCAACAAAAAAATTGATAAATGTTGTTCCCAATATAAAAAGGATATACATGTAGTAAATTACTTCCTCTAACACGTTGTGTAGCCAGAATCCTTGTTTTGTGGGTCCTTGATACTGAAAAATCGATCGATGGCAAAACGTATCCGTCCATTCGTATGTCCGTCCGTCCGTCCGTTCGCCCGTCCGTCCATCTGTCTGTCTACGGTGAACGCTAACGCCTAAACCGTTCAGATGATTTTCTCTAAAAATTGATCCTATCGATCTTAACGAACTCGAGGTCCTGAAAGTTTGAAAGAGGTATTTTGATTTTGGAGGGTACTTAACATTAAGCCTCGTCATAACACGTGTTCTAAAAATCAATTCTTTTAAAAAAAGAGGCATATATATTTCTTTTAAACAATGAGTAGCTTAGCGTAAGTTTGATTTTCAAACTTGCAAATACGAATTTCCCCAATTTCCCTTTCCTGGTCTCAGTGTCAGAATTTATCAGATCGTAATTAATAATGGGTTGTTCGGCCCGACACGGCTGTTGAATATTCTCAAAATTCCTACTCTTTGTTAGGAGATATTACAGCTGGATGAAACGCTTTTTTAAATTGACGAATTTTTTGTTGGTATATCAGTTTCAAAGAATGAATTTTCGCACCTGATGATCTACGATTTGTGAGTTTTACAAGTGACGACTGAGATGTGTTAATACGGAAAGTGCTGTATTATAATATTACGTAACCATTACCAAGTGCGAGAAACTAAGTGCTGTTGCGCTAGCACCACTAGTTTTTTGTTAGTTTATGTACTGCATTGTGTTGTTAATTAAGCACAAAAGAAAAGAAAAATGTATATTGAAGTACCTAAGGTAGATTATTCTTTATTCAATCATATTTGATAGAATTAAATCCACAAAAATTAGTAATCGTTTGGATACTCATATAAACATGACGTTAGAAAAATAAACATTTGTACATTTAAACGGGGGGTTAAATGCGTTTTATTGAACATCACACGTGGTCGCCAATTATTAAAGAAGAGAGTCTCCTGGTAGTTTGAAATTAATTCCAAACCTTTCTACTATTCGTGTAACTTGTTTAAATCATTTAACTTTATTAAATTAATTTAATTTTAATAAATGCAATTTCACTATACTGATCCCCGCATCCATAAAATATAGATATTTAAGTTTGTTTTCAGAGCAGCTATTATCTCGTTAGTGATGTGTGTTTAGATCAACAAATTATTGTTTAACGCAGCAAGCGCAGTGTCAGGCGATGGGTCTGAGCCTTTTAAAGCGCGCGTCGTCTGGGCGAAGGGCGCGGGGAAGGGACTCGCCCAGTCAGAGCGCTGCGTGGCGTGGCGCCACCTGCCGAAGGGAAGGGGAAGCTATTGATCGCCGACGCGGCGCGGCGGTGCGGCTTCCGTGCCGGGCACCCGCCCTTCACTGCCCTATGCCACACGCCCCCCGCTCCCCCCGGCCACAGCAACGGGAAGGAAGAAAGGGAAAACGTAGGCAGGCGCCCACGCTGTGCCGCGCTGAGAGAGTTCACGTGTCCCCTCGCATTGACACTTTCGATAAGCGCGCGCTCCGCCGGACGGTCCAGCTGACAGGATGTCGTCAGCGTGATGAGCCTTGCATCCCGCGTGACTCGTAGGGTAGTAACGTCTTATCGAGCCTCTGCAGAATTCCTTTTTTCTCTCGGGTTGCGATAAGCGGCGGTCCGCCTTGTATGTGGGAAACATACACGCCTTTTGCGACTGACCGCCTCCGCCGGATCACGGGCGCGGCGCGCCTGTATGGACTGAAGCCTCTGCGCATGCGCCGCCCCGGCTCGCACTCCCATTGGCTGAGCTTGTGGCCAGACATCACCTCATCGCCGGCGTGCGCTGCGCTGCGAGCTGCATAAAACCAAGTGCGGTTTTCTTCTTTTCAGTTGAGCGTGTATTGTGCCGAAGACAAGAGTTGAGTAGAGGTGTGTTTAGGATCCATCGCTCCAAACTCGAGTTGACGACAAACAACAAAGACAATAAGGTTAGTACATCAAATATGTGCGCGATTTGACTACAATTATCACAATGCCTCTTTAAAATTTAAATACCGGTATGTGTTATTATTACAAAATGCACGATTTCGCTGTCAATGGAATGTTTATTCATACATATTATAAATGTTTCATTTTCTTGCTTCCCACAATGCATTAATGTTACTCGAGCAATCAACTTACAGTGTAAATGTGAAACTTCATACCTTAGTGGTTTGTATTGTGTTTGTGAAAGTATGCCAAATCACACAGAATGTGTTTCAAATATTTAATATTGTAATATTCGTGATGAACCTAATGTGACATTGACAACGTAATACATAAAACATTTGAGCAAAACTGGAACGAATTCAGCTCTGCATTTCTTACTTTTTGTTCGACAATGCTTTGTGACCAACAGTACGCAGTGTTGTGAACTTTTCCATCTTTACAAACCTGAAAAATGTTATTTCACAATGCCTCTATCATTGAAATTCAACATTGTTTTAGTGACTTAATGAAACATTATTACTGCGTATTGTTATCTCTCTCTATGTATGTATATATATATATATATATATATATATATATATATATATACATGCATACATACATACATACATACATACATACATACATACACATATACACATATAGAATCGAAGGGTCCAGTCTCGTGAGGATTGTGCCTACTTCCTGTCGTTTCGCGCGACACCGCACGCTTCGCAGATGTGACCTGGCGTTGCCGTTGTTTTCTCCGCTAGCCGGGAAATTGATCACGGTCTGCGTGTAATAAACTAACGGACCCGTGCTCATTTACCTCACCGGGGGCGTTTAACCGGCAGCGTTCCAGTATTTGGGAGTATTCCAGTGTCACCTACATTACTAGGTGTATATAAGATAGGGAAATCCTTTCGCCCACGTTTGCATCCATGATCTTATTTTATCTTAAAGATAACTGTCCCGTTTAAATCTATTTTTTAATTTACTTTTTATTTGCCGGCACGAGTAAATTATAGTACGTTACTGTTTTACAAAATCTGTGTTAAGAGTATCAATTACAATCAGTGTTGGAAAAGAAAACATTACCAGTCAAGAATTAAAATTTACACACAATCAAAACACGACTTGTAGCACAACAGTAGAGTGATGACTAGAGTTTTTATCGATCTGGTAGTGAATAGGCATTGAGTATGTGGTTATTGCTGTATTCAATTCCTCATAATTAACTACTTTCTTTCAGCATACAAAGGCAATCGGTTCTCTGAGAACTGCATTAATTGCTCAATTGGGTTCACGTTTGTATTATGCATGTAGAACTAATCCAGGTGAAGTAATGAAGTCAGGGGCGAAGCTAGGCAGGGGCAACCTCTACATCACAATGTGGACCCCCAGTCAGGGACACCCTGACAGATGACTCCCTACCGATCCCCATAAAGGTGGGGCTCCTGTTCAAAAGGATTTTGCTCTATCCCCTGTTAAATATTGAAACCAATTAGACATCAAATGAACATGTACGAATAACATCTTCAGAACGAATAAGTAAGCAACTTAAGTTGCGTTTACACGATCATTTGTTCTACTTTCTTACCAGTTCTACATATCATTCATCCCGAGTTCAGTTTCAGATTAAGTTCTCAGGGATGCGTATCTCTTGACGAAAAGAGAAAAGTGCTGTCTTCATCGTTGTACAAAAACACGGCGGATACAGGACAATATTCAGTGACGTCACGGGTTGCCGCACCACCTCTCCAAGTAATGCCTTCAAAAGCGGACCAAACTGAGTAAGACCCATCGTTTCACAAGTTACAAAAGTGAATCAGCCCTATGTCCGATGACTTCCACTCACCAGACTACTTCGCTCTTCATGTCCACACAAGTCTGTCAGCAGTGTAAATTTCATGAACTAAGTGAATTGTGTATTAACTGTTCTGCAGTGTGTATTAACAATCAACTTGTCGTTGGTAAATAGTGTGTTAATTATAAAACCAACTTAATATTTGGGACAAAAATGCAGTTCTTCATATTAAATTCTACACTTTTATTAATCTTCAAACAATATGTTTCGGAAATGGATGCATTCCCATCCTCATATAACATTTCTATCTTCTTTTCCTTCTCTTGATGATTCTCAACGGCAGGATAGCCATTTGACATACCATCATTACTATAAAAAGGCAAAATTGAAGGTTATGATCTATTCGGTAACACAAAGACAAAAACCAATAAAAATAGTTAAACCTTTATAACTAAAACAAATACATATGTAATTAAATGTTAACTCATTTTTAAATATAGCTATTCGTAAATATAACAATAATACTGTTTAAAAGAAAGAAGAGAAAAAAGCATGTGAAGTAAATAATCTGATTCTCTTTCGGCATTGTTGGCACAACTCCAATCTACTGCAATTACGTGTAACGAAATCGCGGCTTGGGGTAAGTTTTCGTTGGCAGTGAGCTTCATATAGCCATTTTCATATACGCTCAAATACAAAGCAGCTGCAAATATTTCAGTGAAAATGTGCATGTAGAACCAGATTTTACCCTCTATAATGTTCTTAAAGTTGTATTTAATTTCTTCTATTGGGAATCAAGGGGAAATTGAAAACAAAAACAGTGACAGAATGTATTTTAGGTGCCAGTAGGTAGAGGCTTGAATGGGGGGGGGGGGCGACTAGCTAGCCCAGACGAAAGAGATTAGGATACTAACTAGTAAAATGTCCCTAGATGTAATTTCTTGCGATCAGTATAGATAAAACAGTTGAAATAATTATATTCTAGGTTTTTTGTGGGCTGCACGACGGAAGTGCGGTAATAAAACAATATTAAGAATATCATATTCCTGGTATGTTTGTATTGATTTATGCCTAAGTTGTTAAATCACCTCCAATAATGAAGCATTCACATTGATTCCTGTTAGTACGAGTTTATCCGAAATAGATTCACCTGTCATTCCTTCAACCTCACGGAGGGATTTCGGTCTCATTTGTTTGAGTGTAGACACTGTGACACTGCACAAAGTAAAACGAAAAACATTTTATCGTCAGAAATGTCAATACTAATCGGTATGTGGTGTGACTGTTAAAGTCCGCATCATATAAATTAAGTATTGAAAATTAAAAATGGATTGGGCGATCGTATCGATTTCATCGTAAAATAAATTATAAGAAGACGAATTTTAATACGCACCTTTAGTTCCAATGGGCTTTTACTGTCATCTTTTTCTGTGCATTTGAATGCGACTTACGGAGACTCTCTTCCGCGGTAATTTCTACCTCCTCTCGCGCTGTTCACTCCCTCTCCACGGGCTGTACAGAGGCCAGAGGGCTCCGCTTGTTGGAGAGACGCCACGCGGGCTCCCTTCGCCCCGCGCGGCTCGTCATGATCGCATAGGACTAGGGCCGTGCGGAGCATCGTCACCATGCGGGCATCCAAGAGGTGGTTGGGGTGGAGCGAGGCACGACTGGCCAATTGATTGGTTTCCGTGCTAAGGTATTAGTCCCGTAAGTGTAGTGCATGTTTTGTCGCCGGATGTGGCGGTCATCTTCCTCGCTGGATAGCGAAATTGGCGCCGATCTGCACGTCGGCTGGCGCTTCTTTTTCCGACCAGGTATCTACCACCAGCGGGGCACCGCCCCAGTCGGGACAAGCTCGCTACCTCGAATTATTTACAGTCCGTTGACGTTTGATCAGCTGTTACAGTGGCATCCAATTGGGAGCTTAAACGTCAATACTGTAGGTGTCATCCAAGCTTCCGATTGGATAACACCGTAACAGCTGATTTACGTCAATGAATTCAATGTTTAAATCGAAGTATAAGACCGACTTCTCTCCGACATATGTGGGAGTGTAGTGCATGTAAGTTGTGAGGAAAGGACAAGGAAGAATAAGGAAAGATCGCGCGTGGTCCGTGACCCGTTTGTTAGGGTTCTGCTCCAGCATTCGTTTGGTGTTTGACGGAGAAACCACGGAAAACCACAGCTCAGTGTAGCTGGCAGCTAGAATTCTTCTCCAGCCAGCAGCTGAATAGAACTTAGATAGCGCCAGTGACATCAGTTGATGCCTAAGACGATAGGTGGTGTGGAGCGAGAGCCATTGGCCGAAGCACAGCGATGCGAGGTGAGGTGGAACGGAGAAGGTATGGCGAGTTGGGGAGGCGCGGCGCGGCGCGGCGCGGCGCGGGGCTGGACTGGGCTAGGCAGAGACAGCTCGCGGATCGGCGCGGCGAGACGCGGCGGCGGCGGCGCCGCCAGCCTAAGTAGCGCCTTCCGGGCAGGCGGCGGGGGTGACGCCGCCGCCTTGCGGCCGGGGCGGGGGCGGCGGAGGAGAAGGCGGCGTTACGAGGTCGCATACGAAGCGCCCCGCTTTCGGACCTCCTCTCCCCTTCCCGCCTTGTTGGACATACCGTTTGCACGCGCTACGCCAACTGGGAGGAATGCACTGCGATGGCGGCGAAAAGCAGCGTCTTGAGCGTAGCCACATGTAATTGTCAAAATGTTACAGAGGTTATGTGACTCTAGAAATCTTTAAGGAGGTCGAAGTATGGAATTCAGTGTGCAATTCCTCCTAATTGATGAATTCAAATGCCCTTTCTTGATACAGTTTCAATGCATCATTATGTCATTATACAAATAAAAGAGCTATGGGAGTCCTACATTTCTGTTTTAACGATTTGTGATTGTCGTTTTGAGTTATTGATGCAACTAATGAGCCGTGTCTATTGTAGTATTGTTCACAATATGCGGCGACCATTTCAACTGCCTCTCTACGTCGTTGTTGATGAAATGATGAGGCGTCAGCTGACCTGACGGCCGGACTCTCCTCTGAAATTGAAAGCAATCGTTGTTTAATGAGTCAAAACTTTGAATTCGTCATTTCGACAAGAAACGTTTTTCAATCCTGTTTTGTATCGTCTTTGATTGGCAGCAAATGTGTGGCACTAGAGACACAGATTTATAGCCAACGAAGTGTGCATTTTGGCCCTTCCACACGTCACGTGTACTCTTCGC